GGTGCGTGATGGCCGACGACTTCTCGCTGGACAGGGTCCAATCGGAGTAGGTGTGCAATGCGGGGTTGACGTCAGCATGGTGGTTGCCAACCTCGCCAACATGGGCATCTCCATCAACTCGGCTGTGAACAGTGGTCAATGCGGCCGCGTCAGCCTCAACGGCCCAATAAACAAGGTAGCCGGCTTAGTCGTCGCACTTGCGCTACGGATGTGAGCGAAGGCATAAAGGATTGATGCTGGCACAACGTTTATAAAGTTAAATGACGAAACAGCCTAAGTCTTCACAGGTTACTGGCATTTTCAGCGCATTGTGCACGGTGGACATTGGCGGCGCTATCGCCTACATGAGCCAGGTCGTGACGTTCATCAATCTCATTGTGGTTCACTGCCAGGACTTCTTGGACGTCAGTGCACTCTGTGGAGCAAGCATCTCGGGTATCATCACGGCTGCCGCGGCCCTGGCTCCCTATGGCGCTGCCGTGCACGCTGCTTGTGCCGAGGGCGACGTCCTGAAGAACCCCAAGAAGCAAGAGCTCATCAACGGCCTATACACGGCCTTCCCGCGCCGCTTGGAGGAAGTGAAGAAAGTGCAGGAAATGAAGGATGCCATGGCCAATCTGAAGGACCTGCGCCAAAAGTTGGAGTCGAAGATCGGTTTCAATGCCTCGGTGCCGACGATGTACTCCGAGGCGAACATGGAGCAGATGATCCAACTCATGAAAGATGGTATTGCAGGCGATGCAGAGACGTCCATGCGAGGATCTGCAACGAAAGATGTATGTGATGAGTAAATAAAGTGCTACTTGTAGAATCATAGCAAAAGATCAACAAGATGAATGTTGGCCATGACTGCCTTCAGAATTCAGCTTCAGGGCCCCTGATCTGGGAGATTTTGCTACTGCAACGTCTCAGTCGGGGTCGCGGAGGCTCGTGACGATGACTCACATCCTGTGCTTGTAGACTGCGCACTCGAATCGAACACATTCGGCGGAAAGAATCTTGGAAGGGGAAGGTCATCGTGAGTTGAAGCTTGCCTGATTGTTTTGTGCATTTTTGTGGGAGTGGTCAACCCGTCCGCGGCAGTCTTCTGCTGAAGGCCGGGTGCTCGCCACTCAATTTGACAGCGCTCATCCCCCTGTCGTCCAGGCGAAATTGGAATGAGCAGATGTTGTGACTACTATGTGCAGCACGCACGCACGCACTGCTGCCAAACACGGGAGGATGAGCTTCTTTGCATTCCTGCGTAGCCTCACCAGTCGGCTAGGCAAGGAGTAGCATGAAACCCAATGCAATAGTACGATGAGAGGATCAGATACGTCAGATCAGTGGAGGGCACAATTTGGCACGGCCCAAGAATGTCCAAGACCTGAAGCACTGCTGCTTGACGTCTCAGTCACGGCAACGTCTTGCTTCTCAAGCCCTTTGTCTGCATCCGTATGGTCCGTATGTCAGAGAAAAAGTGACAGAAGCTAACGTGTTCGTTCGGACCACCTTTGGCATCACGCACTCAAAACCCTAAGCCCCAAACCCCGCGGCAAGGCTCCGCGCCTTCCGCCGACTCTCTGAGTTTCGCGAGTCGCTCCCGACTTTGGCTCAGTCTTGTTGGGGGGTCTGCAGGGGGCCAGTAAGGGGGTTTTAAGGCTTCCAAGAAAACTTGGGGTGTAAGACTTAGGCCGATGTAGATTTGAGTTTTTTTTTTCTGCAGCTTTTTGGCAGGTTTTGCGGGTTGGTGGCTTTGGGTTTGGGGATTGAGAGGCCTTAGCAGGGCGCAGGGGATTTTGATTGTAACGGCTTTGCATATTTAGCTTGAATTACTACCTGATCACTGTCCCCCACCTCCCGCCGCCCCAGCACTCACAAGCACGGAGTGGGGTGTGGCTGGGATGCATACCGGCAATGCGCCGTAAATGGCTGTGACACTTACTATGCATAGGATTGCAGAGCAACAACATCTCCAACCGAGATTTTCGTTCGGAGATGGTGTGCCTCTGTGCTGCACTTCTTATCCGAAGTCCTCTGCCCCGCACCCCCCCACGCCAAACCCTGAGCCCTACTCTGAAACCTGCAGAATTTCAGCCCTACCCAGGTCACAGCCCCGCATGGCATTCTTGGACAGCGGGAAACTGGCAGAGGCTCAGATGTACACTTTGCCCTCGAGCCCGAACCTGGAATGTTACTAACCAACACAGGGCTTTAGGGTTTAGGGGCTTCGATTCGATTTTCTCTGGGAGCCCAGATTTGCGACGATCACAGATGGAGTGGGCTCTTCTTGTGCTTCCTGGTTCCTGAACCAGGGTCAAAAGCCCTGAGCCTTCAGTGATTCAGGACCAGCTCCCTGCCCCCTCCCGAGAGTACGGGGTCCGTCAAACCCTTTCCATGCCCAGAAGAACTCCTTCATGAAAAAGGTACGTTGGATTCTGATAGGATATTCCTTCATGGCGGGTGTGGGGCTTGTTTTGGTACAGTATCGCCCCAAGTGTGTCTTGGTAGGATTTGATTTGTGACTGATCGCACCAATACACGGAGCAGTGCATGGGAGGATCCTACAGCTGTCGTGGGACATTCCGTTTGGCAGCAGTTGACGAAGTGAAGCAGTTCGAGCAAGATCTGTATTCCTGGAGAATCTCATCCCCCAAATTAAATGCCGTGCCTATTTTGAGTTGCAGGCGCTCTGCTCGGCTTCTGCAAAGGTTCCTGCACCCTTTAAACCCTAAACCCTACAGTTTCATGTCGGGCGCACAGTAAAGTCCAACCAACCTGTCAGCGAGTGGACAAGGAGATTTTAGTGGTAATTCCTACGCAAAAGCCCTGTACACCCTATAACTTACAGCCTAAACCCCCCAACCACAAGATACCTCAATTTCCTATCCTCACGCCTAAACCCGAAAATCCTGGGCCCAAATTTCCAGCTTTCGATCCTAACCCTAAGGCGCTAAGGACTCATGTTTTAAGGCTTTTGGGCCCAAAGACCATACTATATGAGGCTTTTGGGCTACTCTGAGCCTCAGGGTAAGCCTTTGGAGCCGGAGAAGGCTTGGACACAGCTCCGGTCCGCCTACTTCGACGTCTGCGTGGAAGCCGGACAGCGTCCGGACAAAGTGCCAGGGCCTCGGTAATACCCAGGGGCTTTAGGGTTTAGGGGTTAGGGGTGTAGGGTTTAGGGTTTAGGGTAAACTTAAAAGTCAGAAACGGGTTTCGGGTTTGATTATAACTGCTGATAACAGTAATAAGGGGCCCTAAGGAATCTGGTACTTTTCAGGATTCGATACCCTAAACCCTAAAAACGGAGTGGACTTGATTCTTGGAATGTGCCTTGTAAGGCAGTTTCAGGAGTTCATCTATAGGTTTGGTAAGGGCTTACTTAGGGTTCAGGTTTCAGGGGCCTCTAGCTGTCAGAAAAGAGCTTCCGGGTATGTAATAGGCTGATAGAAGTTGATTTTCATACTGCGGGAGATTACCCGCCTTAACTAGGGTCAAGCCACAAGCGAACGAAGGCCCGGAACCCTAAACCCTAAACCCTGAACCCTAAGCACTAAACCCTAAACTCTCTAAGGGCCCTCCCTGCAGGTCAGCGAAGCTCACGCGATGGGAGGCGGACTTGCCAGGGGAACTTTACTGGGCTCGCGCTCTTCGGGCTTAGGTCCAATATGGAGGTCTTGATAATAGGAGCCTTAATAATTGGAATAGAGTTTTTGGGGTACGTATCTTATACAATGATTAAAATCAGGAGCTGCCGGATTAATTAGTATTGGTAAGATTCAGGCCCCTATACTACAGTTGTTGGTAATGGTTTTCTGAGTTCGCTTACGGTCCCTATACTTGCACGGCTGTTCCGGTCGATTCTCGACCCTCCCAAAGCGTGAACAGCCTTGAGGACGCGCGTGTGCAGCAACAAAAGTTGTCGAGTTCGCAGCTTGGCAGCTGTTTCTATCCTATCAGGGGATATCGGGACATCAATAGCTTCTAGCATTATTCCCCTTCCTGTACACTCATCCCTGTAGACGGCAGGCGCGAGACACACTTCCTCGAACTCGAGCCCTTCAGATCTCAGAAGGCCCTAAACCCTAAACCCTACACCCTAAAACCCTAAAGCCCTAAAGCCCTAAACCCTACACCCCTAAAACCCTAAAACCCNNCTAAACCCTAAACCCCCCCCAAAGTTACCAGGTCCCCGGTTTGGCTTTGAAGGTTTCGGGCTCAGGGTCGGGCGACTTGCGGCTTGAGGGTTGAGTTGCTGCTTTTTGATCCACTCTGCGGAACCGGGCTTCAGAGTCCATTGCAAAAGCTAAAACATCGGGTTTAGGGTTTAGGGTTTGGGGGGTCAGGGTCGAGGGTTTAGGGTTTTAGGGGTTAGGGGGTTTAGGGTTTAGGGGGTTAGGGTTTCAGGGTTTTTGGGGGTTGGGGGGTTCGGGGTTTAGTGTTTAGGGTTTAGGGTGTTAGGGAGTTAGGGGGTTGAGGGTTTTAGGGTTTGAGGGCTCTTGGGTTCAAGGCGCTCAGTTGGAGGGCTTCAGGATCTGCGGTCCTGCAGCCCTCCTAGGCTCCCACAAGACTGTAGGGTTTGAGGGTTCAGGGCTTAGGGTTTGGGGTTTAGGGATTTGGGGTTTAGGGTTTGGGGTTTAGAGTTTAGGGTTTGGGGTTTAGGGTTTAGGGGCTCTTGCCACCTGAGCCCTACCACCCCACAAGAAAGATGCACCTGCCTGCAGCGCAGCTAAGGCAGCTTGGCGAGCTGTCCTTGCAGGTCCTGCGTCTTCGATTGTTTAGAAGAAATGCAGCTAGCATCCTATCAGAAGTTTTCAGAATCCAACTCAGCCGGTCGGAGATAGTTTGGTGATGTTTACTTCACACCTAGTCAGTCCTTCGTAATATTCCGAAGCCATGCAGTTGGCATACCATGCTGGACCTGTTGATCCCCCTGTCTCACAGGGGTCATCTCCGAATCTCTTTCTTGATTGTCAGCCCGATTCCGCGCTGTCCCACATCTTGAGCAGCCTTGGATCCCTCTCTCTTTCTCTTACTTAGGGGCTGAGCAGGTGACCTTTAACCTTTTGGGGCTTATATAAAGTATTATAAGTCAAAAAGTTAAGCTTTTTTTGGGCTTTGGTACTCGGCCCCTAAGCTTCGGGTTTAGGGTTTAGGGTCTCTGTGTGCAATGTTCATGCTTGCCTGTCAGCAGATGTAGACATGAACGCGCAACCACCACGGCTGAGTCTTCATGCAACCAGCCCTGGGTTGCTAACATTGGACAGGACTTGGACTCCAGTGACACCGACCAGTTGCAAGTGGACGTCTGCAGGTTGCCGAAGGCGCATTCCTTGGAGTTCTCTTCGGCATGTGCAACAGATCTCCTTACCGAGCCGGATCTGCACAAAGCAGTTTCACCGCTTGAGGCTTGCAGCGCGGCTTCAGACAAGTCCCGGGGCCTGTGCCGCAGGATGAAAGATTCAAAGCGTAGCTTGCCCTGCTTCATTGAGTTGGAGTTTGCAGCCAACAAAGCCTCGAAGAGTGAACCAGGCCAGCTGTAAGCTCCATCCGGCCCCTGTGAAGGAACAAGGCAGACTGTTGGCAGTAGCTCCATATCTCTTCACGCGAATTGCCTATGCCGGAATGCCAGAACTTCCGAGCTTTGCACGCAGGGGCCCGAACCCTCGACTCCCCCCCCCCCTCCCTGCAGAGGATTTAGTCCCCCTACCAAAAAGCCAGCTCTAAGTCAGTGAACAACAGAAGCTTGGACACAGAGAACTCCGGAACAGCGACAGGGCACGCTGCAGGAGGTCGGGCGGCGTGGAGCAAA